TACGCCAAAGAAGGCGATCCGTCCCATCCCTCCTCAGGTGTTGCGATCTCTGTCAGCGTATCCAACACGAAGTGTGTGAGGAGGATTGAGTGAAGGTCCTTTGGCTTAGGTCCACTCAGGTACTTGAACTTCTGAGCCCGTGCAGCTTGTAGTGCGTCATGTGTTCTCTTGGCTGGTAATTGAGGCAGAGGACCATCGTCATCGATCTGTGCTTGCTGGTTTGTCTCGACTGCTTGTTGCGTTGCACTCGTAGCGGCTTCCACCTGCTCAGTGGATCCTTGAGCATGCCCGTCATCTTGAGGAGCATCAAAATCTGCTGATTCGAAAGGTTCAGCTGAAAAGGGAAAGTCTGGTGAAAACGGAAACTCTGAGGGTACCGGAGTTGCTGGTAGCTGTTGTGGAACTGGTGGTAGTTGCTGAGGTGCGCGCGCTTGTGGTGTAGAAGGTGCTGGCGTCAGGTTCGGCGTAGCAGGAACTCCGTCACGGATTTGGTCCAGCCTTGCCGATGCACGCCGCCTTGGTGTTGCAGGTACCTTTGGCGTTGAAGGTTGTCGAGGTGTAGGAGGTTGTAGTTGTGGTGTCCGGGGTGTTGGTGCGGCTCGTCCTGTCGATCTCGACCGCGTCCTTCCCGGCCTGGCGTCGTCACCCATCTGCCAAATATTTTGTTGATGGTAACGAGGCGAAAAGATTTGAACGTTCTGAGGAGAGGCGTCTGGTTGTGGTACAGCAAGTTGTGGAGCCGAGGGCCCCGGAGGTAAACTGACTGCTTGTTCCTCTCCAAGTGGCTGTGGTTCTGCACGCTGTGGAACGTCACGTCCAGGAGCTGGTAGCTGGTAGGCTTCACCGTCGTCTTGTTCAGCTCCTGCTTCACCTCCAAGTTGAGGTGCAGTGTGCAGCTCGGGTTCTAGAGGCTCTTGTGAAGGTGGTGGTCCGGGCTCACGTCCGTCATCCCAAAGGCCAGCCTGGAGGAGCTTGCCACCTTCCTTCAGCAAACGTACATCTTCAGCGCTTGGCACCCATGTTTCGATGCCCACCGCAGGTCTCAGTTGCTCGTGTGTGACCTGCACCAAGGAACCGCCGCTCTGCACCCACGCGTTCTTGTCGTCCTTGACCACGAGCCTTCCTAGGATGTAGCCGCCTCGCTTGCGACCACGTGCCTTTAAGTTCCACCGCCAGTATGCCACCATAGATCCAGGTAGCAGCTCGTTGATTTTGGCTCGTGAGGTCGCTGTTTTCCTCAGCAGAGCCCGTCGGATAACCGAAGAAGCGGCCATCTCTTGAACTGCTTGGCAGCCTTGTGAGCGAAGCTGTTCTGACATCAGATGAAAATCTGAGCTCGCAAGTGCAGTGCTGTCTGAGAACAGGTCGCCTGGGTAGCGAGGTAGTTTGCCAAAGACGGCTTGCATGCTGCTCCTCCCTCTGGTGTGGATGCTAGTGTTTACGGCCCAAATGGCCGCACTCAGGCACGTGTCCAGCTGCTCCTTGCTTGTTACGCCGTTTTGGTCGATAAGTCGTTCGACCACTGAGCGAAATATTGCATTTCGCCTCTCGATTGCGCCGATTTGGTGGTG